AAATTTGAATCCGATTATTAACAATAATTAGGATTGATAGAGATAAAAAAGCGTATGAGAAAAATCTTACTTCATCTACAGAAATACTGTCAAATACACTGTCAGATGTTGGTTCTGACACTTCCGTTCGCCTGTTATCACCATTAAGATCGGAGGATTCGATTTTATTGTCAGCTCCACTGTTGCCAGTCCAGTAAATCCTAATATAATAATAATAATAATAATAATAATAATAATAATAATAATAATAATAATAATAATAATAACAATAATAATAACAATAAAGATTAAAAAATTATGATGATCTGAAAATTTAGGAAGATTGGGTTTAACTATTTAACTTATTATTATACTTCTTGAAAATGAGATTACTAATTAAAATATATTACTGTCCATTTAATCATCATCTTCATAAACACCCTAATCGTCATCATAATTAACATACATGAATTGACTATAAAAAAGAAATCATATTGCATTCATTACCTGTCAGTAGTGATACCAACTGCTATAGACTTTGGCTCGCTCAGCCCAGCTGTAACAATAGTTGTTCGATTTGCGCCTGACATTGATGATCTCTCAATTTTAGGGGGATACTTATTCCCCATTTCGGTCCAAAATAAGTACCTTTAGTGGAAAATATGATGTTGAGTGTTACAATGGGCAAGAATATGGGCACACATCCATCTGCTTTTGTTTTAGACATTTAGAATTTAGCCATCCTTTTCCCCAAGATTTTAAATATTAAAAAAAAAATCTGTATTTTATCGTCCATTCCCGATTTTTTTTCGGAAAACATCCCTTCCGTGTCTTACAAAAAGAGTTGTACAGCCCTCAATCTTTCCTCTTGAGCAAAGCTTTAAATATATTAAGATGTGGACAAAATTTGACTACACTAAATCCTCGAACAAGTTTTTAAAATTTACTAGGTAACAGTTTTAATTCTACTTTGGAACAGAATGTATGGTACCTATGGTCCAGGGGAGATGGATTTATGGTATTCCCCTACTCGGAACACCGCAATTTTAGTCACCTCTTATCTAATAATTTTAGCGCTTGGTTAGATATTTCTTGGCTGCTGCAAAGAGAGGGGTAGAGTCATCCCCTAAATCCGCCACTGCTAGAGAGAAATCAAATATTTAAGCTCATCAATTTAGAAGTTTCAATATTTTATGTATCCATTTTTATTTTACTTTTTATGTTTATTGTTAAAAATAATGCTAGTAACTTTTAGTGTAATTCCATTGCTATACCATACTAATCTTTTTAATACGGAATTTTACTATTTAAATTTTTGATTTAGGCTTTTATCATTAATTGATTACCTTATGTTGTGATTTTAATGTATTGTATTGTAACAAAATTCAATGTTTCTGAGTTTTAGATTCAGCTTTGTATGATAATTGTAAATAAGTCTCTCATCAATTTTATTATTCTGCTTTTCGATTTTGACTGTAATTTTGTATCACATACATGACCAACAGGTTGTTACACCCTCCTGGTATGTTATTCTCTAATTATGTCCAATATATAAATAAATAAAAATTCCCAGTAGCTGGTAGTAATTGCATTGCTACACCCATTCTAATTTCCATGAAATTAGCATTATCAAATAGTATTATATGTTACTTCAATTAATTGGCATTAGTACTTGAATATGTACATACCCTTTTATAGGATGGCAAGCTATTCCCGACGGCCTTTCGAGGCCCGTATCAACAATCGTAGCTTCGTGTCCTCTATAATAATTCGTCATTTTGATCCAGTTGTAACCCTCATCCACCCAGTACACATTTTGAGACAGCCAGTCAACTGCTATAGCCTCAACTCTACCAGAGGTTCCACTTTCAATGGGATGAGCAGAGCCAACAGGAGGTCCAAAAGCATCACTTAATAAAATTGCGTGAGTTTCTTTATCATGGAAAGTAACATTTCCTGCGTGGTAATCAGAGGCTACTGAGGTCCAGAGGCCGGCCTCGGATACATAGCTCGTATAATAGTTTAACGTCATGTCAATTTCTGGATTTGCAGGAAGCCAACCAACAACAGACTGAGGAATCTGGTAGATTGCCAAAAACAGTTTATTTTCTGTATCCATTGCAAAAGCTGTAAGTTAACACAAGACACTAAATGTGAAGGTGAGCTAGCGAAAGACAATTTTCCACTGTGCACGGCTACTTTGTGTTATTAATTATGACAATAAAGTTCATAGCCCTGTAAAATTCGACCTTCTAAAAGCCATATCGATCAATCAATTAGTCTTTATGTCAATCGCGTATAATTCACGTTAATACACGTACGAAGAAATAAAAGTTTTAATAATTGTTCCTTTATTGAAACCTTATTTAAAAAGGGTGAACCTTTCAGCTAACCAGTGAATTCGACTGATGTTCATGGGCCCTCTTTTCGGTGGCGCCAGCGGGCGGGGGTGGGGGTGGGGCAAGGGGCACTCGCTCCTTCTGACATACCTTGACCCCTCGTTGTCCAACGCCAATTTTAATTTAATTTACCTATCCAAGTTATTTGCCTATCCAAGTGATTTGTGGAAGCCTTTCTATTTGTTTATTTTAGGCCTGTCGACACATTACTTGACTAGTACCCTTACTAATGCCTTGTATAAAAGTACAAAGGCTTGGACATTTTTACTAATAAATAGGAGTATTAAATTGTCCCTGGTATTAAATCAAAATTTAAGTTCTTTATCGATTTTAATTACCAGCTCTCTCTGTGTTTCAAATTCTATTAAAAGACTATGCATTTTAGCCTTAATGTGTTATGGGGTAATCAAAGTCAGTAGACGCTCCTTCTAATTTCCTATAGCTCACTTGTTTGGATGAAAACACTTTGCAAGTTTTTAGCCCATACCTGCAAACTCAGAGTGACACTTTTGATAATCGTCACATCAATTGAGTTAACTTTAAGAGCCTGATGGGTGCCGATTACGATCCCCTAAGTTTATGTTAACACTGCAGTCAACCTTTGTTAAGAGGACACCTTTGGCCCAAGGGGACATCTTTTTAGTATGAAAAATCGTCAATTCCAAACACATTCAATTCCTATTGAAAACAAAATAAAGTGAAGAGTAATATTTTTGTTTATTCTTAACAACAAATATTATACACTCAAACTTATTTCCAATGTGAATTTGATGGCATTCTATGTATAAATTCCTGTAGGTTTTTGCTTTTAGTTTAGATATATTATTTTTCTTTTCTCTGTATAAAAAACGTACTCTCATAATGTAATTCAATCCACAACTTGTAACATAGCATATACCCTGATTAAGTTATTACTAAATTCATGTTATATTTTTCATTCAAGTATAATGTTTAATATTGTAGGATAAAAATATTTACTAATTTAATGATATTCCTTTGAATAACAAAGCAGACCTAAGACAAGTTCCACTTTTGCATTAATATACTAATGTTGATTTTTTTGTACAAATTAGTTTTTATATTGTAATCCATTCTTAGCTGATAAAGTTTACAAGTAGTATGACTGTATGCGTAAAAACATATTATGATGGCATTTTTTTTATCATTTTCAGTTAATGTTTTATTGGGCAACCTATTTCAGGGGAGATCTGTTAGTCATGAAATTGCTCCTTAGTTGTTCTACTGTATTGAACATTGTGGATACTGATGTAAAGTACCGTAGTTAATAACAATAACTGTTCATTAAAAAAGCATATTAATTAAAAGTTTATTGTGTTTTATCTTACTATTATGGGGATACAACTTACACTTTCAAAGCAGCGTAACTAGAAAAATATAGGCCTGTGGAAGAATACTAAAATAGTTTTAGAAGAAAATCATACCTTTGAATGAGAAACATGCTACTGTAAGCAACAACACTATTTGCAACGTCATCTTGTTTAATAGGAGGCTAGATATAAAATACTATACCAGCTGTACCGCGTCTTACATATCCAATGAGGAAGTTTGGTGGTCAATATTATCTAAAAGTGAAAAAGTGAGCAGGGAGTTTCTATTACTAATAAAAATTTATTGGCCTCATGACTCTTAATTAATACCGTACACAAACACATTATGCATACTGATCCGATTATGGCTGTACGAAGTCTAACATACTTTTCAGTAGTTCAAATTCTATCGGGGGCGTAATAAGTCAAACCTTAATTGTGTCCAATAGTAATTTCATTTATAATTTTTATCATGTTCAAATGTGTTTATCCTAAAACCCAAAACCGAATGTAGGAGACTAACATTCATATACAAATTATCTTGTTTAATAGGTTAATGATGACCACAAAAAGTCCTAATACCGTAACACATAATAGAAGCCATTGACTTCTTTTTTTTTTTTTTTTTTTTTTGGAGATCTTTTCAATGGGCTTCCTTTGAAGATGGGCTCCGTTTCAAGATGGCCTCTTATCCAGGCTAATGTTGTAAAGTAAAGAGGAGGGGTGGGGGGCTTCTTTTCAAAATCGAAGATGTAAATTTTTGGCAATTGCTAGTACTGTATAAAACAATAATTATGGCCACTGTAACAACAGCCTGTATCATTTAGTATATTAACCGCAATTAAAACATTTACTGTATAAACCAAGCATGTTTTAAAATGTTTATTTGTTTCTTTGAAATTCATTTACAATGTATGTTTACTGTACTATCCTAAAAAGAATCCCATGGGCTTCTTTTCGAGATGGACTTCGTTTCGACGCAACTTTTGCAAAATAAAGAGGAATTTCAATTCGAGGTGGCCTGGGTCTCTTTGAGAGATTAAGCCCATTGGGCTTCTATTCGAGGTGTTAAGTATGTAATTAGATCAATTGAAAAGAACAATTGAGAATATATTAGAAATGTTTAATTCACTGATATACTGTCTCCCATACTCATATTTTTTATAAAACCGTTTGTATTCAACTGCTAAATAAGCATTCGTTATTATTCATATTGTTGTATATAAAGTATTTTAATATCGTGTTCTTATAGTGTTTTCCTCTTTCGAACTTGTTGAAAACCATCTTTTCAATTTATTTTATTTAACTTTTTGATGATTGAACTAGACTGTTTATATCTTTTTAATTATATGTATATTGTTCTGAAGTATTTTATAACTCGACTTAAAAATGTTTGAATGAATGTTAATTTTGCATAAACACCAAGATATTTGTGCACAGTGCACACTTTTGATATTTTTTGTCAGCAATCGCCACATCTATTGATTTAACTGTAAGTCGCTGAATGGTGCCGATTAGCATCACCTCAATTTTTTTTTGTCAACACTATAGTCAACCACTGTTATAATGTAGGCCACTATGTAATTTCGTGTCATTTTTTAAGGGTGTCAAATCCAAGATGGCCGCCAATACGTAAAATATCTAATAAATTCAACATATTATTTGACAAAACAACTTGCCTTATGAATAATGTTTGAAGTCCAAATGATTGCCACAGAGGTCCTAAACCATATAGACCTAGTTTTAAACCAAAGTTCAACAGAGTTCGGCCATTTTGAAATTCAAAATGGTCGCCATTACAAAAATTACATATAAATAAATTATTAAATTTGAGTGTGCCAATAATGTTAAAGTTACATGAACATGATTGCAAAATATGATATGTCATGACTAAAATTCAAAGTGGCGATCAAATACAAAATGGCGACCAATGAAAAATACTATAGTGCCAATAAAGTGGTTGGTATGTTATCTCCTGCAAGTGTTCGTGGAAAGTGTTCTCCTAAGTTGCTGCAGCCATGATTGAAGCAACCACATATCTCCGTACACGGGACCATATTGCTACTGCAACTACAAAAATAGTTGCGATTTGCAGCCACACATATAAGTCTGATGACCTCTGGCGCAGAGGCATTTAGACATCGCACTGGAACAAACTTTCTTCAGATCTCACTTCATCATAACAATCAGCGATCCCAACAAAATCACTCTAATATCTCATTTCATCTGTTTTTGGAGATAGAGTTTACAAGTGCCATGCCATCTATAATCATAACTGTGTACTTATCAGGTGTAACCTCCTGTTCAGTCGTATATTGAGTACCGTAGGTGCTTGAATTTTTCCATCTATTGAAATTTCCTGCTCTTTGGGGATAGTGCTTTAAAATCTTGAAGGACCTTAGCTTTTTCATAGGCTAGCAGGAGTGACCTGTCTGAAGCAAAAAGTGCCTGCCTTATATATTCTTTTAAATCATGACTGGGCGACTATGTAGTGCGACAATGAATCTATGAAGGAGTCCTCTTTCTTCTTTGACTTTGATAAGTTTGTCACCTGCTTTCAAAGTCAGGGCTGTATTTGCACTTTTGAAAGTGCCCATCGTCGTCTTATTTATTGGATCCTATATGGAAAGTTTTCTCTCTGGAAGGCGTTCTTTTGCAAATGTCTCATCCTCTGTCCGATGTCATACGCTCTATTATATCCTTTGCTACTTTTTCATTCTTTACTTCCTTAGTGAGAAGGTTATAAAGGTCATTCTCATCAGCAGCGAATGGATCTTCGTGGTCCACAAACACCTGTGTCAGCAATGTAGCATTCTTCATTATATTCGGGTTGCCTTTCCTTCTGTTATCTCGTGGTGTTGTTTTCTAGTAACATCTTTTCTCATGAAATGTTGTTTTTCAAACTCATATATTGGCCAGCTCTGGTGCAATCAGAAAGAAACTGTCTAGAGTTTTCTCATTTTGGATAAATGCTAATGATACTGCCAAAGACCTTGAGTTTGTGGTTCTCTTGTTGAATTCCATGATCCGGACCTATAAACGCGAACACAGAAAGTCCCTTTGTCACACAGAATTTGCCTCTCATGAACTCTTCCCAGACATCTGGAAACTTTTGTTTCCTGCATTGTCAATAGATATAGCAGAAATAATTAGGGCGTAGTTCAGGTGGTCATGCGCAAAGAAATACTTGATAAGAGCCTCTGTACTTACCATGTGCAACATCAGATCCCGTTGCCTGGTGGCCCTGACATACTGAAGTATAGTTTCAATCTGTTTCAAGTAGTTGAGGATGTAACGTTGGATAGGATTTGCATTGCCTTCAAATTGACCTAATTTTTTGGAGATACCGTATCTCTAGATTCGAACACTGTCAGTGTTTTATTCATGGCTATATTTATATGTTTTCAAATTTCTTTGTTCATGCTGATATCTTACTTATCTGTCTTTCAAACAAATGGATACTTCACTTAAAAACTCCTTCTGGCATTTTTTTTTCTAGAAAACTGCTAAAGTAGAGATGGTAGAGAGCAAGCAGGGTTATAGTATGGGTTTCTAGTGACCTGTAGGGATGCTTTCCATTTAAGATTTGTGTCACTGTTGTAGGTGATTCCAGCTTTAACACAAGCCTGGTCAATTCCACTAATTGCCTCAATATATTCCCAATGCTGCCAATGCCAAAAAGAGTACATGTACTGTAGCTCACTGGGTCAAAGTAAGAAATGTTTCTTGATGTCATCTTGGTCCATAGGTTAAAAATTGCTCACACAAATAAAATATACGAGCGGTACTGGGTAAAGACAACTTGATTTCTTGCTTCGAACAAAGTATCCATTTGTAGAAGTCTTACGAAGATAAGCCTATCCTATAGTGACGTTAAAGGGTTGGGACCAGGACATATCTTCGACTTTAGAATGACAAAGATTGAAATATGTTAAATACAGACACAATGTATACATAGGCCTAGTTCTTGATTCCAGGTGGAATATGTAATTATGTATCGAAATTGTCTGTATTTAACATATTTCAATCTTTGTCATTCTAAAGTCGAAGATATGTCCTGGTCCCAACCCTTTAACGTCACTATAGGATAGGCTTATCTTCGTAAGACTTCTACAAATGGATACTTTGTTCGAAGCAAGAAATCAAGTTGTCTTTACCCAGTACCGCTCGTATATTTTATTTGTGTGAGCAATTTTTAACCTATGGACCAAGATGACATCAAGAAACATTTCTTACTTTGACCCAGTGAGCTACAGTACATGTACTCTTTTTGGCATTGGCAGCATTGGGAATATATTGAGGCAATTAGTGGAATTGACCAGGCTTGTGTTAAAGCTGGAATCACCTACAACAGTGACACAAATCTTAAATGGAAAGCATCCCTACAGGTCACTAGAAACCCATACTATAACCCTGCTTGCTCTCTACCATCTCTACTTTAGCAGTTTTCTAGAAAAAAAAATGCCAGAAGGAGTTTTTAAGTGAAGTATCCATTTGTTTGAAAGACAGATAAGTAAGATATCAGCATGAACAAAGAAATTTGAAAACATATAAATATAGCCATGAATAAAACACTGACAGTGTTCGAATCTAGAGATACGGTATCTCCAAAAAAAACCACTGTACCACAAAAGGCCAAGCGCACACTGTGCTTTCTCCATCACAATCACACATACAGTAGCATAACACATTAGAAAATGGAATCGTGCATCTCACACCGGCGGGGAGCGAATTTGCGTAAACAGTAGTATACAATAATAATTTTCTGTTTGAAAAGTGTTTAAAATAAGAACAAAATAAGAACATTTTGAGCCTGAAATTGGCCAAAAAATAAGAACACTGAGCCTTTTTTATACTGGTTCTTAAAAAATAAGTGTATTGTAAATGTGTATTTGTCGAATAAATATATGAAATGAATGAATGCATGAATTGACGGATGGTCACTTGATGAATGAATCCTTCGCGTTAAGCCTCGTCTATCGTAAATAGCGCCAGTGGATCACACTGTATAGGCATAATTCGCAGCATCGAGCGAAGTTTCTTAGCTTACAATAGTGGAATTTCAATAAACTTTAATTGAACAACAAATTAGTATTGTATTTGCAGACTGACAGTATCATCTCAATGTATTAAATCCATCATCCCTTTTTTTA